GATACTATGAATATAATAGTTAAAACAAACCAAATTATAGTTTTGTATGGAAATCTCCCAATACGCTCCGAATCTGTACTCTGAGAACTCAGTTTTCGACGGGTAATATTGATGATCCTACTTACGGTGCTACTTCGTCGAGGATTCGTTTCTTTTATGGCCTCGGGTCCTTTCGGTTCTATATCATTTTGACCCTCTGTTACCTTATTTATTTTTAAATCAGCATCCTCTTCTACCTTTTTCCCTCTGATTCGGAAGGAATCGAAGCCTAGGCGTCTGCCTCTCGTCTTGATGATTGTACGCCCAACGAATATATACATCACTATACATGTCGCAGATACGACGCCTAACAGAATGGCGATGCTCACTTTGTAGATGGGACGCCATACTGAGAATCGGTATCTCTCATCAGCTGCACAGACGTATACTTTGGTGGGTCTTCCCTGAAAATTTTTCATGGATGCTTCTTCTATCCCACACATTACAGCTGCAGGACAAGCCAGAAGAAGAGCGAACAGTAGCAGCACGAAACACAGTCGGATCACCAATCGTGTCCGTATTTGAACACTGAATGGCTTGCAAACACGTCGAAAGCGCTCTACTGATATCAGCAGCAGTGTCAATGCAGATGCCCCCGATCCAAAAACATTTAAGAAGCACTTGACCTTGCAGACTGCACCATTTTCGAAGGCAAAATAGTGTCGATGTTTGGCGATTTCAGCCGGTATGATTGTAATACACGTGACGAGGTCAATAATACCAAGAAAGAGAGCGAAAACTTTGAAATTGCTTTTGTTGTATTCGTGGCTCAGGGAAAACACAAGCAGTACAATAGTATTTCCAACAAGGCCGGCAAATGCGAGAAATCCAAATATAATGGATAAAGGCAGTAAAGCCGAGGCATATCGAGTATTTAGATTGTCTAGGGTTTCATGGAGACTAGAATTATTAACGTCAGACATTTTCCAAACAAATTAGATTGTAAGCAGGAAGTAATCTTCTAGGAAGTATACTTTAATGTTTGTAACGTTCAGTGTCCAAAGAGCGACTCCATTTTTTTTTCCCCCGCTAACGTCCTTTGAAGACTAGCTTTAATTTTGAGTTTGGTGATAGATTTTAGATGTAAGGAAGTTAAATTTATTCCTTCCGGAAAACGTTTTGTACATTTGTAAATTCGTGTCTTTTAAAATATGCTCTTATGTATAAGCATAGACTTCATCCCTGCCGTTATCATTTTTAATATTGTTACACAAGACACTGATAATGTGAATGCAGCAGCATGTCCAACCAGCAGCTTATTAAGGTCAATACGTTTGTACCAACACCTCGTGGGGAACCAATGCCTGCAGTGAGATTCACGAGTCACGTATGTCTTGCCAATATTTTCCTGCGAATAACATATTTTTAAAAAAATATTTTCCACAAACTGCACTCTGCAGAATCCAAGTGTAAATGAAGTATATACTAATTGCCAGTTAGTGCATTTGAAAGAAATTATAGCAATATACATAAAAGCAAACAATATGATCTTCCCTTTAAAGTCATCAAGCGAATATTATCTCCTAAGCGCCGCATGACCCTCTTCTAAGACAAACTTGATACGACTGTGTACAAGATGTGTCCGGTCTGCCATATATCCAGTCCGGATGGCTTCTGCACTGCGTACAAATTCTCAAGATTCGATTGTGAACATGCATCCGGTGTATGTATGTATGTATGTATGTATGTATGTATGTATGTATGTATGTATGTATGTATGTATGTATATATATATATAGAGTTACACGTTACTCTTTACAATGCCAACTCCCTTACCCAACTTTTCCCCCCAAAAAACCCATGAGGAACCAAGGTGGAAAACTAGACTGAAAACAAAACAGCCCAAGCGCATTCGGAATATACAAATTCCCTTTTCAAGAGCATAAAGCAATGACGTTTAAATAAATTAAACAACAACAAACCAAAAAATCTCTCAAAAAAAACGTACTTTCTATATAGGATCTACTTAGGATTACTGTAAGTATTTACATGGACTGCACAAGGAAATAATAATAATATAAAAAGAAACTGAGCTTGGCAAGTGAAGTTAAACATTGTTACTTTTAACGCTCCCAACTTACGAGCACTCGATCAGTATACATTGCTTACTTGGCTCCAGCGAGGTACGAATGGACAAATGTTAACAGCCGAGTGTTGTACTTGAAAGTGTAGTTTCCTGTAGCCAGTCTTGCGTGACTTTGAGCGATCTACGAGAGAGAGAGAGAGAGAGAGAGAGAGAGAGAGAGAGAGAGAGAGAGAGAGAGAGAGAGAGAGAGAGAGAGAGGGGTTCGTTAATTTCTTTTTCGTTAAACCTTTTGAAGATTTCAATTTATGGCTATAAACATTAGTTTCGTTCAACCAGACTTCTCGATTGGCTTTGTGAGATCTTAGCCATGGTCTGGTAAAAGTCTCATTCGCAACTTACTTTTGGGTCGACCTAACGGGACATGCCTCGAATGTAGGTTAAAATTCCCCTTTTTGACCACTTAAGCTATTGACAAAGATAATTCTAGATGTTGCGAATGCATCAAACT